AATGAGTTGGGCTTCATTAGTCTACAGTCATAAAAAATACAAAAATAATGACTACCTATTTAAATCTCTCTCTCCATACAAGAGAACATGAGATTGAAACATTTAACAACAGTGTTTCATATATGGTAGTTATTCAATAAACATTTATTGAATGAAAATATGTACGTATAGGACCTCACTATTTAAAGGAATACTGTAATCATCATGTTTTTCTTGTTTGGTTGTTTGAAATCCTGAGTATAGTATTGTAGACAGAACAGGGCTTCCTATTTCACTCAGAATAAAATTCAGTCCTTATCATGGCCTACAAAGCCCTATATGAGCTGCAACCCCACTACCTCTTAGATTCATCTCTGACCACTCTCCCCTGGCTCACTCTGCTCCAGAAAACTGATCTTTGTGTTCCTCAGACAAGCCACACACATTCCTGCCTCGATGCCCTTGCTCCTGCTCTTCCCTTTGCCTAGACCACTCTTCACCCTTCATTTCCTTCAGTCTCTGTTCAAATGTCATGTCATCAGGGAGGCTTTCTTTACCACCCTATCCAACAGAGACCCTTATCCTGCTGTTTTATCTTCGTATCACTTGTTGTCACCTAACATATATTTATTTCTCTTCTCACACTGCAAAGTTAGTTCCAGGAAGGCAGGAACCTTGTTTTGTTCAATGCTGTATCCCTGTGTCTACAACAGTGCCTGGCACACAGTAAGAGTTCAATAAATATTTGTCAAATGAATAAATTAATGAACATTAGATTGGAGTCTAGACAACTGCAGTCTAATCCTAATCCTACCACTAAGAAGTTGTGTGATTTTGAACAAATGTTCCCTCTCTGTCTGTTTCTGAATCTGTAAAATGATTGGTTGGGAACAGATGTTTCTAAAGCTTCTCCCAGCTCTAAAATTCTGTGGGTTTTATAAGTCTACCATTTACCAGTGATCTTATGTTAAGTTTTCGCAACACAAAAGTCTTTGTTTTATTTTATATATCGACAAACTACAAGCCCTCTGGGGCATTTTATTCTGATCCAAGACCCTGCTCCAATGGCCCCTGATGAAGCCTTACTCAACCCTTCCAGGCAGGGTGGATCCCAGGACTTTCTCCCTACTTTGAGGTACTTCATACAGACCTTTTCTTCCTTAAATCTCTTTTAAGAGTTAATGATGTAATTAGGGTTTTCTGTTTCTCCACCTCAAATGTGAACGTTGTAAGGGTAGTAAGGAATTCTTAGTAATTTTTGTATTCCCAGCACATTGAATGGTCCAATTAGTAGGCACGCCATGAATGTTTAGTGAATGAAGGAATACAGGTAAGCCAAAGTGGAACAGGATCATTACTCATATTGAAAACTGACAGCATCACTCCTCCTTCGTTGATGAATGGTGGCAGAAAGTAGAGCTTTGCTGCCAGTGATGATTCATCTGAAGGATGAATTGGAAATCTTCTAAGGGCCAAGTACTTACACATGCTCACGTAGTTTATTTAATCCTATGACAACCTAATGAATTAGGAATTACTGCTACCATTTTACAGATGAGAAAATTGGGGCTCAGAGAGGATAGAGAATTTGCTTACAATAAAACAGCTAATGGGATTCACACACAGCCCTCTTGATGCCATATATCATTTTCATATTACTGAATGATATCAGAACAATAGTTCTCTGATCCAGTGTAAGCATTGGTGTGTGTAATGTTGAACTTTCCCGTATTAGAAAAGCCTTTATACAATAAAAGAGGATGTTTCCTAGATTCAGAAAGGTAGCTACAGATGATTTTACATATTATACCTGAAAGGGTAAGAAAAAGATTTACAAGCAGACTACACCTTGTGTCCTTTAAATTTTTAAAAAGGAAAGTTTATTTTTTCTAACATGCAGAAAAGCACTACATGCTTATTAGAGAAACACTGAAAAACACTGATAAACATAAAGAAAAAATTAATCATTATTTCATTTAACAATAATCACCATTAACATTTTTCTATATTTTCTTTTGGCCTTTTTCCAGTATATATTGTATTTTATGGTTGAGATCATTCTAAATTATAAAATTAATTTTTTTAAAATTCAATATAAGCGTTTTTCATATTATTAGAAGTTTCTATAAACAGCATTTTAATAATAACTCATCAAATAGGCACAATAATTAATCATTCTATTATTATAAGATACTTAAGCTGTGTTATATTTTTTAATATTATGTGCCACTTAATTTTAAAAAATTCAGTTTATAATTCAGTTTCTGAGAATGGTTCTGACCTATGAGAAAATGTAGAGACAACTTTTCTACTCAAGGAGGGGAAAAGCTCTCGCTATTTATTACTCAAAGAGATGAGGTCTTTTCCTTTTCCTCCAATAACCATTCAAAGTAGAAGCTAGATGCAGCCACTCAAGTTTCAGCTGATATTAAATAATGAGTCAGTTGTGGGCATAGAGTCTCGTCTCAAAAGGAACAGGTGGTGAAAGTCTAGTGGCTTGCAATATGCAGATCTAAGCTCACATCTTCACTCTTACATTTACTTGCCTTATAATTAAGTCTCAGTTTCCTCATCCATAACAGGACAATTGTCTCACAGTGTTCTTAGGAAGGTTTAAAATGTAAACACTTAGCACCGTGCAAGGCACAGAGTGAGTGAGTCCTCTTCTAACTGTAAAACTTTGGTGGAAGAGTCAAAAAGAAGGGGTAAAGAAAGGTGAAACATCATTCTGATCTCCCATCCATTAGAGAATACACCAAGTCCTCACCTCTGGTCTCAGAAGAAAAACCTTCGGGCCATATTTGTAAACTTATGCACAACAAAGTAGTTTGATTCTTAACAATACTCTGAAGTAGGAGAAATTTGGGGATTCCCAGTTCTCTTAGGAGTTCTTCCCCACTGACATCTCCCTGTCTAGCTACCACTGCCATCTCCTTTCCCATTGCCCACACTGTGGTTCAAGCCCTTGACACTGCCTTTTTCCTTTCCGCAAGTGCCTCTCTGATCTGAGCCCTCCTGAAAACCAACTTTCCAATATTCCCTTATCAGACTAATTTTCCAACAATATTCATCTGTTCTCCAACCCTGTTCAGAAGGTTTACTGACTCCTTGTTACCCACGTCATCAAATCCAAAATTAAAAAATGTGGTGGTTTTCAAGGCCTCCATCACCACCCACCTTATTCCCACATGGTTCCCTCTGCTCATTCTGACCCCTTGCTCTGGTGTCCACCTTACTGTCTAGTGTTGGAGCAGACTGAAACTTACCATAGACAAATCAGATCTTTACCTGAAGGTTTTGACCTTTGTCAATGAGCAATGTGACCCCAAAGTGGCTCTGTGAAGTACCGTCAGCTGCTCACGTTTTACTTTAAATGAGTTTTCGGAGTCTATTGGAGGTAAATTTTGGCTGGACAAGTGTATGAGGATCCTGGACACCACTAAGAGGTAATAGTTAGAAAGGCTGGGGTTGATAGACTCACCCTTCTCAATACTGTCCAGAAATCGTAGGTCCCAAACTCCCTGTTCCACTTCCCATGGGTGTCTTCTGTCTTTCATTCATGTATCTGCTGTCCATCCTCTAAAGGCCAGCTTGTGTCCACTACTTCAAGGTAGTCACCTGGCTCTACCTGTTCTCTTCGGAGCCTCCACAGTACCCGCAGTCTACACCCCACCTAATTTATTTAGCACATAGTGTCATATTCCCCATATTGCTCCATAACTTTTTCCATAAAGTCTTTGAGGGTAAGGATTGTGCTTGGTAGTTGCTTGGTAAATATGTGACCAATACTCAAAACTTCTTATCTAACTGACCAATTTCCCTCATCAATGTCACTATGGGCTGCTACTACAACTTCAGCTCTGTTGACTTTGGTTGGGCAGGATTTTTAACTTGGGGTAAGATGGGCATTCTGAAGCATTGGGACACATCCATCTGTCACTACAAAGCCTTTCCTCTGTAATAGACTTAGGAAGCAACACCACTGACTGACAGACATGTTCAGGGGAAATAAAAACAACACATTCTTAAAAGAGAACAAATCAAGGTAGAAACAAATCTAAATAGAGAGGACATGATTCATACTATTCTCATTTTAGGACCTCCATGAAGAAGGATGAAGACAATGAAGGGAGGCCTAAGTGGAGGGAGACCTGTATTTTCATGAAAAATTTAAAAAACTGTAAAAACCCTTGCCGTCAGTCCATTCCAACTCTTAGCACCCTGTAGGACAGAGTAGAACTGCCTCATAGGGTTTCCAGGGGGCAGCTTGTGGATTCGAACTGCTGACCTTTTTGGTTAGCAGCCAGGCTCTTAACCACTGTGCCACCAGGGCTTTATCTTTTCATGTAGTATTACATAATTGCATTTACATTCACTGAAATGAATTTGCAATTATGAAACAAAGAAGCAGGCTTTTAAGAACAGAGGTTACCAAAACACAGGCTTCTTTGCTCCAAATAATTTTTGGGCCTTTATACCAAAACTAATACCCCTTATAGCAACCTAGCCTAGTGCTAGGCACCCAGGAGACCTCCATTCATTTGAAGGTACCGGAGGGGCATTCTTGACCTCCCTCCTCGCACCCCTACGCCATCTCCTCAAGCTCAGGCTTTGAAGATTGTTCTTGTGGCTTGGGCCGAATGTAAGCATTGTGGCGAACACATTTCTGCAGTTAGGCAGGACCCTAAGTAAATCCCCAGGAGTAAACAAGAGCAGCAAGTCACAAGGAGCACGGGAGGCGACAGGGGAAGATGAGCTTTGCTGCAGGCGGGCCTGTCACTCCAGCTGAGAGCAAGCACCTTCACCCCAAGCTCTTTGAAAACGCAGCGTGCCAAGAGAGAAAGTGCTTAGCTCGAGGGAAAAGAACTGTGGAGCTTAAAGGGGGGAGGGGCAATAAAAAGAAGGTGTGCGGACAGTTACCCTACTGAAGCACCTTCCCTCTCCACTCCAGGCATGTTTAAGCCCTCAGGCGGGTGCACTCGGGTTGCGGGGTTGTGGGACCCGGCAGAGGCAAACCCTACCTGGCGTCCGGCTCCTCCTCCGTCTCCATGGCAGTTTCGTCCTCCTCACCCTCTGACTCCTCCTCGGTCTCCAGTTCCCGGGAAGCCTCCTCGTCCTCCGCGGAGCCGAAGCTCTCTGCGGCGTGGTTGCTGTCATTGCTCGCCATCTCGCCTGTCCCGGGCCGGAGCTAGAGCCGGAGCCGCCCGCGCCCGCCTGGTGTTCTCCCTCTGACTGCAGCTCTGGCCCCCGCCCAGCCCTGCCCTGCCCTGCGGGGGCGGCTCGGCTTCCCCGCCTGGAGGCGGGAGAGCCGAGCGACTTTAAATAGAAGGCGTCAAAAAGTTTCGCCACAGTTTCTGAGGCAAGGGCTCAGCTTCTCTTCCCTGCGTGTCTGCCAACTTCCCACCAGCCGTCCCCCGCCCCAGTTTAGGCAGATCCCCAACGGTCCTTTTCAGCAACTGGAGATCACCACTGTCAGGGGGCAAGAGTTCCCGCTGCACCAGTGGGTTAAACCAGTGATAGGTACTCCAGTCCTGGCTTCCTCCCCTCCAGAGTGGGCTTGGTAGGTTTTACCTTACGAACTGAGCTACTTGATACACCCTTTACCCCAACCAAATAATTAATGACTCCTTGCTGAGCAGGGTGCTTACTAGCATCAGGCACTGTACAAAGGGTCTCATTTTTATCCCCTCACAACTGTGGGTGATAGGTTTTGTTGCAGTCTGTTTTATAGATGAGAAGAGCTTAGGTAGCTTGCTCAAGGTTCTGTTGCTAGTAAAGTAAACCAATGGGAAACAAAGATAGGTCTGCACTATTTAAAAACCCAGCTTTGACTCATTGTTCAGTATTGGCTCCCTTTATATTTGCAAGTCAACACATTGCGTATTCTCTTCCTCAATGACCCCAAACTTGCTCAACCATGAAATTTTATCTCCACTAATCTTATATCTAGAAGAGGAACAATTTTCCCCTTTTGGTGGCTACCTAGGTTCTGTCTAAAACTCAATCCAAAGGCTCCAGACCTCTCCTTGGATTATGTCATGGCTTCCCACTGATCAAGGACTAAAGCCCAATCTCCTCAACAAGATAAACCCTGCTTAACGCAGCCCACATCCTACCTGTCTCGTCTCTTCTTTGGAAATCAGGAGTTCCCCACATACTATGAAGTCACATCATGGTGCCTTTATTTACACAGCACAATATGCCTGAAAGATTCTTCCCACCTTCACTTACCTGGTTACTCACCAATCAGGATAGCCTCCTTCCTCTGAAGTCATCAGGTTCAGCTTAGTACCCCTCTTCCAAGTTACTACATCATCCTATATTCAAATTCTGTGTTCTCTTTCCCCACTAGACTTTGTAAGAGTATTATTACTGATCTTTGTCCCACCATCCCCATCCTTGAACAGCCCAGAAACTAGCAAAGTACCAAGCACACAGCACATGTATAACGAATGCTCCTTCTTGAACTGAAGAGAATGTGACCAAACCTGGTGAGTATGTATAATAGGTGAAGATATCTTTACAATATATAAAGATATTCCTTTTCATGAAGATGATTTTTATGGTTAAAACAATATTTACTTTTAATTGTTAAAAATTATATATATATATATATAATCTCATGTATATATCATTGCTGATGTTAGATGGATCTTGGCTGAAAGCAGAGAATACCGGAAAGATGTTTACCTTTGTTTTACTGACTATGCAAAGGCATTCAACTGTGTGGATCATAATAAATTTATGGATAACATTGTGAAGAACGGGAATTCCAGAACACTTAATTGTGCTCATGAGGAACCTGTACATAGAATAAGAGGCAGTCGTTTGAACAGAACAAGAGGATACTGCATGGTTTAAAATCAGAAAAGGTGTGTGTCAGGGTTTATCCTTTCACCATACTTATTCAATCTGTACGCTGAGCAAATAATCCGAGAAGCTGGACTATATGAAGAACAGGGCATCAGGACTGGAGGAAGACTCATTAACAATCTGCGACATACAGATAGATGACATAATCTTGCTTGCTGAAAGCCAAGAGAACTTGAAGAACTTACTAATGAAGATCAAAGGCTACAGCATTCAGTATGGATTATACCTCAACATAAAGAAAACCAAAATCCTCACAACTGGACCAATAAGCAACATCATACCAAAACAAAACCAAACTTGTTGCCATCAAGTTGACTCTGACTCATAGCTGACCCTATAGGATGGAGTAGAACTGCCCCATAGGGTTTCCAAGGAGCAGCTGGTGGATTCAAACTGCTGATCTTTTGGTTAGCAGCCGAGCTTTTTAACCACTGCGCCACCAGGGCCCCAAGCAACATCATGATAAACGGGAAAAGACTGAAGTTGTCAAGGATTTCATTTTACTTGGATCCACAATCAACACCCATGGAAGCAGCAGTCAAGAAATCAAATGACACACTGCACTGGCAAATCTGCTACAAAAGACCTCTTCAAAAATGTTAAAAAGCAAAGATGTCACTTTGAGGACTAAGGTGGGCCTGACCCAAACCATCGTATTTTCAGTCACCTCATATGCATGCTAAAGCTGGGCAATGAATAAGGAAGACTAAAGAAGAATTGATGCCTTTGAATTATGATGTTGGTGAAAAATATTGAATATATCATGGACTGCCAAAAGAACGAACAAATCAGTCTTCGAAGAAGTACAACCAGAATGCTCCTTAGAAGCAAGGATGATGAGACTGAGTCTCAGCATACTTTGGATATGTTATCAGGAGAGACCAGTGCCTGGAGAAGGACATCATGCTTGTTAAGTAGAGGATCAGTGAAAAAGAAGACCACCCTCAATGAGATAGACTGACAAATTGGCTGCAACGGTGGGCTCAAACATAGTAACAATTGTGAGGATGGCACAGTACCAGGCAGTGTTTCATTCTCTTGTACATAGGGTCGCTATGAGTCAAAACCAAGTTGAGAGCACCTACCAACGTGTGCATGTGTGCACATGCGCGCACACGCACACACCGTCTTAGTTATCTAATGCTGTTACAACAAAAACACCACAAGTGGATGGCTTTAAGAAACAGAAATTTTCTCACAGTTTAGGAGGCTAGGAAGTCCGAATTTAGAGTGCCGGCTCTAGGGGAAAACTTTCTCTCTTTGTTGGGTCTGAAGGAAGGTCCTTGTCTCTTCAGCTTCTGCTTCCTGGTTCCTTGGAAATCTCCATGTGTCTTGGCATCTTATCTTACCCCATCTCTGCTCCTCTGGCTTGCTTGTTTAATCTCTTTTATATATGAGAAGAGATTGACTCTAGATATACCCTACACTAATCCTGCCTCATTAACATAACAAGGACAACCCATTCCCAAATGGTATTATAACCACAGGCATAGAGCTTGAGATTTACAACACATATTTTTGGGAGACACAAGTCAATCCATAACATACACATACACACACACACACACCAAAAAACAAAATCCATTGCCATTGAGTCTATTCTGACTCATAGTGACCTTACAGGACAGAGTAAAACTGTCCCATAGGGTTTCCAAGAAGCGGCTAGCAGATTCAAACTGCTAAGCAGCCAAGCTTTTAACCACTGCGCCATATATATATATATGTAAGAATTCTATTCACAGTTGTTAAATATGATGAACATAAGCTAGGTATTATTCACCAGTTATACTAGTTTGTATGCAATATTAGGTCCACCTGCAAAGAGCTGTAGATACTTCAGCTACAGTACAAAAACATCAGCTAGTGGGCATAAGGGAAGACAGCAGAAACCAGCCTTCACAGGGTTTACTAAACCAGGTTTAACATCAGCCCATTTATCTGACATATTTGGCGTGTCACAAAGTACATATTCTTACACTTCAGTCTATTGATTTAGAACTGGGTGTAAGTTTAAATTTGTTAGCTTCTGAATCTATTTGCTACAGCAAAACAGTCGAAAATCAAAGGTAATAAGGGTGGGGTTAGTGGAAGCTGACAGAACAGTGGCAGCGAAGGAGTCCACACCGTGGTAGAGTCTAGGTTTATCTATTGTAGAGGTAGAACACCCTCACCCTTACCCATCCTTGAGAACTGCACCGTATTACTACGTAGTACTATGACTATTAAAATATTTGAATAATTTGAATAATAACTTACATACCAACCATTAATTTACCCACCAACCACTAATGCCAAAGATGAAGAAACTGAAGATTTTTACCAACTTCTGCAGTTTGAAATTGATCAAATATGTAGTCAAGATGCATTGATAATTCCTGGTGATTGGAATGCAAAGCTGGAAATAAAGACAAAGGACTGATAGCTGGAAAATATGGCTCTGATGATAGAAATGACACCTGAGATCACATGACAGAATTTCAAAAGGCCAATGACTTATTCATTGCAAATACCGTTTTTCAGCAATATAAACAGTGACGATATACATGGATCTTGCCATATGAAATACACAGGAATCAAATCAATTACATCTGTGGAAAGAGATGATGGAGAAGCTCAATATCATCAGTCAAAACAAGGCCAGGGGCCGACTGTGGAACAGACCACCAGCTGCTTATATGCAAGTTCAAGTTGAAGCTCGAGAAAATTAAAAAGTCCATGACAGCCAAAGTATAACCTTGAGTATATTCCACCTGAATTTAGATACCATCTCGAGAACAGATTTGACGCATGAACACTACTGATCGAAGACTAACTAGTTGTGGGATAACATCAAGGACCCTGTACATGAAGAAAAGCAAAAGGTCATTAAAAAGATAGGAAAGAAAGAAAAGACCAAAAGGGATGTCAAAAGAGACTCTGAAACTTGCTCTTGAATGTAGAGTAGCTAAAGCAAATGGAGGAAATGATGACGTAAATGAGCTGAACAGCAGATTTCAAAGGGCGGCTCGAGAAGACAAAGTAAAGTATTATAATGAAATGTGCAAAGACCTGGAGCTAGAAAACCAAAAGGGAAGAAAACGCTCAGCATTCCTCAAGCTGAAAGAACTGAAGAAAAAATTCAAGCCTCAAGTTGCAATACTGAGGGATTCTATGTGCAAAATACTGAAAGATACAGGAAGCATGAAAAGAAAATGGAGGAATACAGAGTCACTATACCAAAAAGAACTGGTCAACGTTCAACCATTTCAAGAGGTAGCATATGATCAAGAAGTGATAGTACTGAAGGAAGAAGTACAAGCTGCAGTGAAGGCATTGGCAAAAAACAAGGCTACAGGAATTGATGGAATACCAGTTGAGATGT